GGCCTGAGACAGGGTCTCAATCTGTTGCCCAGGTAGGAGTGCAGTGGCATGATCACAGCTCACTGCAGCCTTGATCTCCTGGGCTCAAGAGATCCTCCTACCTCAGCTTCCTGAGTAGCTGAGGCTACAGGCATTCACCACCACACCTGGCTAATTTTCAAATATTTTGTAGAGTTAGGGTCTTACTGTGTTACCCAGGCTCCTGGCCTCAAGTGATCTTCCTGCCTCAGTCTCCCAAGCAGCTGAGATGGCAGGTGTGAGCCACCACACCTGGCCTGTCCCTATTTCACAGATGAAGAAACGGAGCTCACGGAGGGAGAATGACTAGCCCCAGGTGACACAAAGAGGAACTGATGGCTGGATGCTGAGTCCCGTGATGGCCACCAGGGATGAAGATTCCCAGCTTGGGTAAGACGGTGTTACTCACTTTCTGAAGCTCTTCAGCAAATATGTGGCCCTTTTCTGTGACTAATTCCACAGCAAACCTATGAAGGAAAAGGAAAAAGCGTTCGCCTGTAATGTAATGTCCCTAGGCCCTGTCTTGCTGTAAACAATAGATTCTCAGGTCGTGGGCCATTTAGTTAATTTAGATATAATAAACACATTATTTTTCTTGCTGACAATAAGAACATTATAGCCTTCCACTTGGGGGGTTGGTAGTATTTGTTTCTAGAAATGCCTTTTCGGATACTCATTATTTCCAGTCAATAATTCCTTTTGAACAACTATTCTGACCAGGCCCACGAGAGTCTGGTGAACAGAAGCTGAGCCAGGCTCTGCCCAGCAAGCTGGTGACAGGGTGAGCAGTGACAGTCTCAAGTGATGGATCCTGAACTCTGACCCGTGGCCCTGTGGTTATAGGTGAGTGGGAATCAGACAGACCCAGGTGCAAATTCTGCACCGCTGCTGAGTGTCTCTGGGACTTCAGGCAAAGCTTATACCTTCATGTTCAGGAGTGTGATATTCAGGAGTGTGATAGGTAATCAGATTAGATATACTCCTGAATGTGAAGGTGCAAACTGAGATCAGTGCTCTGAAGAAAAGGGCAACAGAAGCCTAATCTGACCTTAGCTAGAGAGGCAGGGAGGGCTTCCTGGAGGAAGTGATGCTGGAGGGGAGACTTTGAAGGCTGGGGAGGACTTCCCTCGTAAGGCAGGGAAAGCAAACTGCCCCCGACACAGGTCAGGACCCTGGCTCTGCCTCCCTCAGAACCCTGCACTTCCCTCCTGCACCAGTCAGTGCCCCAGCAGCAGACAGTGGTGAGTTGCAGGGATTCCTGGAGGAGGGCTTTGGGAAGGGACAATTCACAGAGGTGTGGGCAGAGTTTCAGGCAAATGCAGGAGCCTGAAGGCAAGCGTCAGGGAAGGTGCAACTCACCCTGGAGGGAGCTGGATTCTGGAGTCACTCAGCAGGGAGGGAGGGAGGGAGCCCAGCTGCCACCAGAACCATGCACCGCTGGGGAACGGGGTCACACACACTCCTGATCTCTCTGCACTCTCTCCCCCATCACCTGCTGGTGCCTCCCACTGGCTGGACCCACCTGAATGCCAGAAGACCAAGGAATCAAGGTGGCACAGCCACCAGGTGATAAGGCCAGCCTCCCACGCATAAAGAGAAGGTGAAGAGAAGGGATTTGAAAGGACCAATGGAGAATATCCAGCCCATCTTCCTGGCACATCTTACAGTTAGAACTAAACACACCAGTGTGATTCCCACCTGGTATGTGTCTTCCCTCTGGACCAAAGGGAAGGGCTGTGCAGGCTGGGACACAGTCTGTCTCCATCATAGCGGATGCCTCATGCCTGCCTCACAGCAGGCGTGCAGAAGTATCTGCTTGCCGAGGGACGCTCCGTGACCAGGCCAGTGGCAGGACCCCACTGGGCGCTTGCCCCAAGCCTGCTCCCACACGTGTAGCTGCCCGGTGAGTGCTGCCTGCTCCCTGCACTCTGAGGCTCAGGAAGGTGGGGCTGAGGTTCTCTGTTGAGCAGCGCCTTGCAGCAGATGCTTGGCCAATATCTGACCAAGGAAGAATCCACAACCGAGATTTCCCCGACCTGCTGCTCCTCCTCAACTGAGAGATGATGGCTCGTGATTTAGAGCTCATTAGAATAGCTGACGCGAGAACTGGCCTTTTCTCCCTTTGTCCACTTGGTCTTGCATCTGCCCCCTTCTGGACCCCCTCCCACACACACACCAAGGGGTTTGTTTGCCTTCTCTACCCAGCTGGCTGACTATCTATACCTCCCATTATCTGTCCCGAAAATCTCACCTAGCCAGGCCCGCCATGGAGAAATGGTAGCCAGGAACAGGTAAGTGTTAAGAACAGTAATAATGAGGGGACTTGCTTGAACCTGGGAGGCAGAGGTTGCAGTGAGCCGAGATCGTGCCATTGCACTCCAGCATGGGCAACAAGAGTGAAACTCCATCTCAAAAAAAAAAAAAAAGAATGATAATAGCTAACATTGCTATTACTTGTGCTAGGCACTGTCCTCAGGGTGAAACGTGGAATCATCTCATTTCAGCCCCACAAGAACACAGTGAGACAGGAATTATCATGATGATTACCTGACAGAACAGTAAACTGAGGCTCACATTGATCTGCCTGACGTCCCAGAGATGATCTGCAGTGGTGCTGAATCTGTAGCTGGGTCTATCTGGCTCCCACGCACCTACAGCCCACAGGCCCAGAGTCAGATACCAGGATCCAGCACTTGAGACTGTTGCTCCTCCCCCTGTCACCAGCTTGCAGGGCACGCTGGGCAGACCGTGCTCCTGCTTGCAAATATTTGCTGCCCCTCCCACCCCGCTGATGTCAGGCACGTGCACATGACAGTCTCTGGCCACTGAAATGTGAGTAAATGGAAGGCATCACTCCCAAGAAAGGTTTGTCTTTTGGAGACAGAGTTGTACTCTCGCCCAGACTGGAGTGTAGTGGCACGATCATGGCTCAATGCAGCCTCAACCTCTCAGACTCAAGTGATCCTCCTGCCTCAGCTTTCTGAGTAGCTGGGACTACAGGTGTGCACCACCACGCCTGGCTAATTTTTTAATTTTTCTTTTTAGTAAAGACGAGGTCTTGCTATGTTGCTCAAGCTGGTCTCAAACTCCTGAGCTCAAGTGACTCTCCCACCTCGGCCTCCCAAAGCGCTGGGATTAGACCTGTGAGCCACTGCTCACACTTTTTTTTTTTTCAACTTTTATTTACCAACAAAGTTGAGTCTCCATAAAGACTGTGAGACACTGCCAACGTCGACTATACTTCAAGTCATCATGGCAGGATAGTGGGAAGAGTTTTCAATCGGCAATAATCACACCTTGGATAAACCTCGCTGGCGACAACACTGCCACTGCACAATCCCTTGACAGCCTCAGGAGCCACTGCGAGCTTCACCATGACCTCTTTTCCCTCTGCCACAATGACTGATAATCGCCCCAGGCAGCAGCTGTCCTAGCAGCCTGGGTCCCAGAGTGAAGGCCACATGGAGCCATAGCACATCCACCCTGTGATGGGGGTGAAGTGGGAGCAGCCAGTCCACCTTTGGTGTCCTAAGCCAGGAGATTTGGGGGTTGTCTGTGACCACAGCATGACCTGCCCATCCTGACCTGGTCCATCCTTGAGTCCACCTTCCATACTTTGGCTTACGTAAAAAACAACATTCACAAAAGGGATCACATTGGATATACTGCGCATTATACTAACTCACCTCTTTCACTCAATATACTAACCTCAGTGGCACACACAGGCTCACCTGAAAAATGAGGGATGAGAGGGAGGCAGCTTCACATGGCATGGGCCAGAGGCCATGCAGGCACCGGCAGGGCCAGAAGGGAAAGGAGTCTGCAGCCCTGCAGCCTTGTGGAGCTGACCAGCCTGTGCCTCAGCGCTGAGGAAAGTTCAGTAAGGGCTGACAACCTCCGAGGCAGCTGTCCAGCACACGTGGGAGCTTCACATTCATTACGTTTACCCATACTCGACTCAAACGCAACCTCAAGGCCAATCCTGTTCTTCTTACCCAATAGCTGAACTTAATTCATCTGTAGTTCCCACGGCTTCAAACACTTGGTCGTCTTTGGGTCTCCTTTCTCCTGTGAAGGTGCTAGAAAACCCTGTGGAAAAAAATGTTTAGCCACCCAAATTAAGATTCTGTTTTCCTGATATGCTGTTTTTTGTTTGTTTGTTTGTTTTAACTTTCAAGTTTTTAAAGAACTTTCTCTCTCTTTTTTGAACTGTCGCTCTGTCATCCAGGCTGGAGTATAGCAGCGTGATCTTGGCTCACTGAAACCTCTGCCTCCCAGGTTCAAGTGATTCTCGTGCCTCAGTCTCCCAAGTAGCTGGGATTACAAGTGTGTACCAGCATGCCCGGTTAATTTTTGTATTTTTAGTAAAGACTGGTTTTCGCCATGTTGGCCAGGCTAGTCTTGAACTCCTGGCCTTAAGTGATTCACCTGCCTCAGCCTCCCAAAGTGCTGAGATTACAGGCATGAGCCACCGCACCACCCCTTAAAGAACTTTCAACCTGAAGTATAACATATACACAGAAAAGTACTCAAATCATAAGTGTGCAAGTTGGTGAATTACTACTAACTGAATATACCTCTGTGATCAGAACCTAGCTTCATAAACAGAACATGACCAACACCCTGAAAGCCCCCATGTACCCCCTTTTAGTTGCCACTCCCCAAGGGTTAGCCACTATCCTCACTTCTTTCCTGAGGTGCTTTTATTTTAAACTTAAGAATCATACACTAGCCATCCTGATGAAGAAATAAAACATGTTACATATTTTATATCATATGTACATTACCATTGTATTTCACAGGACGTCAAAGTCCTCTGTGCCTCTGCCTAGCTCACAGTCCCTGCCTTTCTCCCCCAACCTCTGAGAAAGTGAAAACTGCCCCTGACAGTTTGGAGCTGGCTTTTGCTATTGGGCAGGCTTTGGGGTTGCCAGGTGTTGGCCTGGCACTCACAGGTAGACTGTGGTGTTCTGCTGAACACAAACCATTTCACAGAAAATCGTCAGACAGGTCGCTCTACGACTATGACAGTTCAAGACCAAGACAAGGCCACTCTGGAATAATGTCTGAGCACAGATGACTGTCCAAATGCCAAAAGATGACCAAACATCCCCCTTCCCTGGCTAATGTGAATGGCTGTTGCATCTTTATCCATTACAGCGTTAGCACCTCTTTGTCCCTTCTGTCTTCTAGAGACAAATTATTAAGATACCCAATTACAGGCCGGGTGCGGTGGCTCACACTGTAATCCTAGGACTTTGGGAGGCCATGGCGGGCAGATCACTTGAGGCCAGGAGTTCGAGACCAGTCTGGCCAACATGGCGAAACCCTGTCTCTAATAAAAACAGAAAAAATTAGTCGGGCATGGTGGTGCATGCCTGTAGTCCCAGCTGTTTGGGAGGCTGAGGCATAAGAATCACTTGAACCTGGGAGGTGGAGGTTGCAGTGAGCCGCGATCATGCCACTGCACTCCAACCTGGGCAACAGAACTAGACCCTGTCTCGAAAAACAAAAAAAGATACCCAATTACAGAAACAGCCCTGCTTCCTAACAGGATTCAATCCGCAGCAAAGCCCCACTTCCTTGAATCCTCCCCCAAACCACCCAATAGAAGCCCAACTCTATAATAAGTCCTTTCCAATATCCTCTTCCTTCTTTTTAATTGTGGTAACAGATGAACATAACAGAATTTTGCCATTTTGACCCTTCTTAAGTTTACCATTCAGTGGCATTGAGTATGTCCCATGAATGCTTTTATACTTTTCCTATACAAGTATATATCCAAAAAATAATACATACTAGTGATCTACATGTTTTTATACTACAAAAAAATGGTATACTGGCTGGGTGCGGTAGCTTATGCCTCCTGTAATCCGAGCACTTTGGGAGGCTGAGGTGGGAAGATACCTTGAGCCCAGCAGTTCAGGACCAGCCTGGGCAACACAGCAAGACCTCATCTCTACAAAAAAAATTAAAAAGTATTAGCCAGGCATGGTGATGTGTGCCTGTTGTCCCAGATACTCAGAAGGCTGAGGTGGGAGGATTACTTCGAGCCTGAAAGGTGGAGGCTGTAGTGAGCTGTGACTGGGCCACTGCACTCCAGCCTGGGTGACAGAGTAAAACCCTGTATCAAAAAAAAAAAAAAAAAGTATCATAGCAGTACATTCTTCTGCATCTTACTTTTTTCTATATAACATGTTCTAGCATTTAAAAAACTATTAAAGTAATATATACTCATTATAAAAAACAATAAAATAGAATAAAAGTATATAAATAGTGAAAGTCCTTCTGTTTGTTCCCCTCTCACAACCTCTCT